AAAAAAATCGTTGGGGGTCAAATTTTGCCAGGGGGGGTCAAATTTTTCCAGGGGGGGGGGTCAGGATCAACGAGATCAGACTATGTCAGAACCTATGGATACATATGTAAATTGAAGAATGTGATACTGTGAGAATAAGAACATTGATTTCTTCAAACGATATAAATATGAATTTGTGATGTGTTGTTGATTTTGAAGTATTCTTTTATTTTATCTTCACGGCAATTAATACACTCATATGTTTTAATTATTCGATGTGTTGCCGAAGAATAATTTTATCGTGTTTTCATAGAACTGATCGGCTAATGAATCTACATTTTCATTTTTACAGCCGGCAATAACCTCTAGAACTTGTTTTATTTGTGCCGGTTCATAGCGTCCATCAATTAATGAATCCTTTGACCATTTATCCTTCTTTTTTGTTGTAGACCATTTGGTTTTGATGAATTTGGATCCTATGTTTGAATTAGTGAAATGTGATCATCAATATTTATTCTTATTTTTGTTTGAAAATTCAATTATTCAATAGTCACCCGCATGACTAGGTCTTATCGCACACCATGGGCAATCAGTTTCAACTAGAATTCGTTCGTTTGGTATATGTGCCACAACGTTTAATTGTTCTTCCGTTTTCAGCGAACAACCGTTAATTCCGATATAAAATCCCAGATCGATGAGCTTCGTGGCTTGTTCGATTGTCCCGTCAAATGAATGTACCACTCCGCCATTTGTAATTTTTGCTAAATTTCGTTGAATAATATCATAGAAATCATCAAATGAATTGCGACAGTGTAGAAATAATGGTAATTTGTATTTCGTGACAAGATCCAATTGTCTTTCAAAGTATATTCGTTGAACGTCAGCTTTGCAAAAGTGTAGTCGATCATAGTCTAAGCCACATTCACCAATGGCCACAATTTTATCACGATGCTTTTCAATGGCAGTGCATAGTTGTGAATAGTAGTTTTCCGGATCTGATTCAAATTCATTGCATCGAGTTGGATGGCATCCCATTGTAAAGTATAAACGATCTAACGAATTAAACCGCGATTCAATTGAGACTCTAAGAAAATTGACATCATGAAATGTATACCGTCTTTTTCCGCAATTTTAACCGCATCTTCTGTGTCCGTGATTGTGCCGACTGTGATTATAATTTTTTCTAGACCAGTGCACCATGATCTTTCCAAAACTAAATCTAAATCGTCTGGATGCTTCTGCGATCCATTATACACTCCACGAAACATTCCATCCGTTAAATTAGCACCAATATCTAGAAAATCGGGAGTTTTCTTGCTGTTATTGTGAAAATATGGAAAATTTTCAAATTATTCTGCCACAAACCGATGAATTTCATAATTTTCCCGGATTTCGCCAATTTTGAAATAACGTTTCGTAAAATATGCATACAACAAAAAGATTAAAATTTATGAATTCTTGGCTGAAGTGTATATTGAATTTGATCGCAGCACATTGCTATCGTTTCATTTGACAGTTGGCCCCAATACACGAAATTAAACGAATAAGACGTCATTTGTCATTTCGAATGTCATGCACTTAGGTTGCTCGAATATTCTATAGATGGCACGACGCTTGCGTGCTATAGCTCATCTAGCACTTCAATTTCTGTTGATGTTTTCATTCTAATACAAGTTGAACATTCGAGATTCGTATTGTCAAGTTGAACTGCTGTAAATTAATTTTTATTTGCTATCCCATTGGATATTGCGATTTTTTTGAAACCATTCGATCCAACTTCAAAACAGAAAACAAATAAGGATAATTCGAAAAAGGTGTGCAGTGTTTCTGTAAATTTATAAAAATTGTCGAATATATATGGCATGTACGCCATAAGTGAAATGGATATTCACTTTGTCGATTTGTGGAAATTCTAATTTGTATAAGTAATATTGGGCAAATTTGCAAGTCTTTATGTATTGCTTATCATAGTAATAAGCGCCATATCTGTGTAATTGATGTGTATAATGTCGTTGTTGAAATCTCGACCAAGCGCTTCCATATCGTTATCATTAGTCGATTTATCAGTTAACACCGGATACATAGATGTGATATATTTCGTTTACACAAATTTAAATGGAATCTTCTAGTTCAAATGCATACACACTCATTGAATAATTTTATAGAAGCTCATAAGCCAAAAAATTTATTCGTATAGTTGAAGGTAGCAATCGTAGAATCGATTTAATCCATCGAAGTGAATTTGTACACCTGTTGTTTCAGGTCATTGGTTGTTAATTTGGATAATTTTATTGATTTTAAATTGTTCGAAAGTATTTTCCATTTCCAAATTCACTCAAAATCAATATCAATCGACTCTAGCGTAGTCTCTCCGACGCTGTTTGTTAGTATTTACTCGTGATAGTGCGATGAAAAGTTTTTTTTTCTGTGAAATTTATGTTAATTAGATTTTGTATACTACAGTTCAACGGAGAAAATAACTTGATACAATTTCATTCTCTAACTTTGCAGATCAAAAAGAAGAAAAAAAACAGTGACACGTGACTCTACGGAATAAAGGATTTCATTTATTAATTATGTACGGTAACGGTGAGTTTCAAGTCAATGTTTTCTACGAAATGTGAACAATAACGATATGTCCGAATTGTTTCTCGTTTTACTGAAATATTCTGAAGATTTCAGCTTGAACAGAAAATTGTCAATAGACAGACCGTAAGAAGAGTAAGCCCCACAGGAGATTAATTCAAGTCTTACTAGTTGTGAATATGGCTTGGCAAGGTGGTGGTGGTGAACCACCTTATGGGTTTTGTATGTTATTCTTCCAAGTCTGAAAACCACCATTTCGATAATTTTATTGATTTTTCCCTCAATTGCTTGTTGAATTGGATCATAAGTCCTTCATTCATCTAGATTACTTTCTTTCCGTTCTGAAGTATTTTATGTGCTGAATAAACGTGAAAATTCTCCCACACACTACAACCAATACGCTCACTACACACGAATGCCTTCTACAATTTGTATGCACTTTTGTCACCGTCATTCAATTAGTTCCAGCAGAAAAATCATTTCGGTTTCATCTGAAACTTTCAGACCTATACTTTTTGTTGTAGTTGTTGTTCTTGAAACAATATGCATGAATTATTACTTTTCAAAAGAGTCAACTATATACAATGAAATCCAATTTCATCATGATTTGCTCGGGTTTCTTTCACATTCTGCATGTTTTATTGGGAAAAAGTCATAATTAATTTCACGAAGAATTCCAAATGAAAATCCATGGAATCTATAGGTTAATACGAATTCATTATTGTTGTCAAGTATATTATGGAGTCAGTGTGTCATCGATTTAAAAAAAAGTATATATTTTGGATGTATGATGTTATACCTACGTTTTGTATAAACTGTGTATTTATACGTCACTTTTCTACTACGTCTTATTTCCCGTTGTTCTTGTGTTGGTTTCGAACAAAAGGTTGACTTTTTGAGAAATACGATCGATAGTCAGATAACACTTCTGTAATTGATATTTTTTGTAAAAATGCCATGAAATGTATCAAACGATGAATTGGTTTTCCGATTGTATATTATTTTTTCTCATTTTTCAATGTTTCTATATATGTATTTTTGAATCTTCGCATTCATAGTGAATCGATTTGATAAAAGCATTGCAGAAAAATGTATAAAACCATCTGAATTTCAGTCAATGCAAATTAATCGTTTTCTCTGGGCGCAAAAACCGTTTTCGAACCCAGTGAAATTGGTAAAGATCTATTAGTCATCAAAAGGCAAAGTCTTGAAAAAACAAAAACTCGTGTAAATAACAAAAAAAACTGCTGATGAATCATGCTGTCTATCTGTTCGAAAACATTCGGTTCAAAGCATACACACACATGCACTTTGTGTATTACCCGCAAAGTCGGCTAATGTTATCACATAGAATACAGTAATCTGCTTCGTTTCAACGAATTCATATCAAATTTCAACATGAACGTCGCTGTTTACAGATGCAAAGCAATGACAGTATTTTCTTTCATTTCCAAACTGAAATCGTGTAGCAAAACAGAGCAGCGCTGTCATTTTTAATCGTCATTCTGACACTCAATACATTTGATATCAGTCATAGGAGTTCTTTTTTGATTCGTACATTGGTTACGGTGAAAAATCAGAAAAGATCTATTGAATCGCTAACATGGATAGTGAACGAAAGCCCTTGTGTAATTTCATTTTGCTTGATTTTAATTAAATTGTTCAGTTTGATCTTTTATAGAATTTTGCGGAAAATTCCTTTCCTCTTAACATTTATAGTGTGCCAATATATATTTATACGTAATATATGTGGACGCAATTAAAATAATTGAATGATATGAATCATTTGACTTTTGCATGAAGTTTGTGTAAATTTGAGCTAATTTTAAATATTTAATGCCAATTCAGATCCAAACCAACAGTATTATGGAGGCCAGGGTGGCCAGGGAAACCCTCAGCCCGGGTTCAATCCCAATTATCCACCAAATTCAGGTTATCCACCACAAGGAGGCTATCCACCACAAGGCGGTTATCCTCCAGGTGGCTACCCACAAGGCAGTTATCCTCCAGGTGGCTACCCACAAAGCGGATATGTAGGCGGTGGCAGTGGATATCCTCCAAGCGGTGGCTACGGTGGTGATGAAGAAGCCAAAGGTTTTGAATTCAACGACGCAAGCATACGACGCGGATTCATAAGAAAAGTTTACGCAATTCTAATGGTAAAATCACTTTTAGTATAAGCTGGCGTTTATATATGGCGTTTCAATTATTTTCAATTCTATTTTTCTAGGTTCAATTAAGCGTGTCTCTAGCGTTCATTTGTCTCTGCGTCTTTCATACTGGTACGAAAAATTTCCTGCGTGGTCATCGTGAGCTATTCTGGGTTGCTCTGGCCGTGCTCTTCGTGACAATGATTGCAATGGCCTGCTGTGAAAGTGTACGAAGAACACCACCAACGAATTTCATATTTTTGGGACTGTTTACTTTAGCTCAATCATTCATGTTGGGCACGCTGACCTCAGCTGTTCCCCCAGATACAGTGATGTTGGCCGTTGGCGCAACAGCACTCGTGTGCCTGGCTTTAACCATATTTGCGTTGCAAACCAAGTTTGATTTCACCGTATTGAATGGTTTCCTATTCGTTGCTTTGATTTTGTTCATGCTTTTCGGAATAGTCGCCATGTTTTGGCATGGTCGCATAATTCATCTTGTTTATGCGTCCATTGGAGCACTTCTGTTCAGTGTCTACTTGATTTACGAGTAAGTGTAATACGATCTCAATTTCAAAGCACAAACACACATATTTGCGATTACGACGAATGATTAACTTGATATTTCTCTTAATTCAGCACACAATTGATGATGGGAGGCAATCACAAATTGTCCATTAGTCCGGAGGAATATATCTTTGCTGCACTCAATTTGTACATGGACATAGTGAATATTTTCATCTATATTCTAACCATTATCACAGCGGCACGGGACGATTAATTCTATTTGTTTCGCTTACCGTGATCAACAATGGTTTTAACTGTCATCCAAGCGACTCTTTTTGATTTCGTGAACCTCACATTATGTGATTTGCAAAACAATGGTTAAACAAGAATCTTTATTTCATAAAAGACATTCGACGTTAGTAATTACTAATTACTTTTTGTGGATTAGTTTAAAAATCATTCTTATTATCCCAAACATTGGAAAAGAAAAAAACAAAATCAAAATATATTTACACAAACCAAAAGCATCATACAAAAACTATTATTCTATGTTGTCACTTTCTAAGTTTATCAAACGTTAAAATTTAAAAATATATTATTATATCTACATTTACGAAGAAACGCAATTTTATGCAACGACTGTAAACAGCCGTCGAATATATTTCGGAAAATGTTTAATGCAATGAAGAAAACAATCGAATGTCCAAATTCGGAGAACGAGGAATAAAAGCAACTAATAATAAAATCTAAGACACTAACAATTCATTGTCATTTTATGTCTACTTAATCCGAAAGCATTTTTTCCACTTATATTGTATAATCTACACGAATGGTTAGCCTTACGAGAAAAAAACATTTAAAGATATTTAAAACAAAAAAAAAATCTATTAATAAAAGAATTTAAAATAAAAACTCTAAAACCGATGTGTTTGTTTCTTTTAGTTTTAAATAGTAAATTTATTATTTTTTGTACATTTTCTTTTATCACATATTTTTCTTATCGACTATCAGTATCAACAACAGCTTCATCCCATGGTCCGTGGATGTTATTTTTATATTTTTGAGCGTAGGAAAAAATGAACGGATAAACAAAACTACAAAAGATCATCACCATTAAATTGATAAAAAATAATAGCGGCGAAATGATCATTAGGCCCAAACAGGATATGGACACAAACAATATACCTGGTGCCAGCCATAGATAAAATTTCGAATGTGATTCCAACGATCGCAGTAAATGTGGATAAACGGCAAACAGTGTGAAGGAGACTATAAGAAGCACAAATGCATCCAAAGATGTGTTAAGTCGAGAGGCCAAACAAATTGTTCCGAATATGGCGGCATTCAAAGATATTGCGCGTGAAACTAATGCAGCCGGCATTCCGTAGTCATAGCACATCACATGCAATAGGAATACGAAACATGTAATCGTGTAAATGGTATCAGTGCTGATACTTTTGGTCAACGTATGCAGCATTGGTGATAGAATAAAACCAAAGACTAGAACACATGCAACGGTTTTAGCATCTTCTCTTATTGTTCCCAAATAGCCGCACGATCGCGGCCCATTCCACAGTACGAATATGATGTAGCCGATGCAGCAAATGTTACATACAACAAACAGGAGTTTTTCGACCGGAATGTATGGCGGCCGAACGTAAAGATTGTGATATACCAACAGAAATACGACAATCAGTGACAGTTGATGAGTTAATCGCATGGCACCGAGCACGGCTTCTGAATATTTGAATATTTCCACGTTGATATTCTTTTGTAAATCCTTCAAAAACATCGGGTCCGTGTAGTTATCTGGGTAGCCTCTGTTGCCATACAAAATTTTTTGCCATGGCCTCTTTTGCTGTGATACAATGCGTTTTCCATTTTGTCGATTCACTGTATTTCGCAGCATTGTCGATGCGATTCCTTATCTACGGTTGGAATATTACTTTATTGCAACATATTTCTACCGATTTGAAACCAACTGTTCGTTTTCCTTCTGTTTTCGACGAAAAAACTGTGCTTGTCAATACAGAAGTATACTGCACAAAAGGTGCGTTCACATTATCAAGTGTTTCTTTGAACGCACTATCTAATCATGCGATGACATTTCGTACATGGTCTAGTGGTTTACATCATTTAATGTGAAAACAACAAAGAGATAGAACGCATAATTAGTAATAAACATAATCTATTTTACTATTTATTGAAAATTGTTGAGTGAAATCAGATAAAATGGCTGATAATTTTGGTATTCACCGTGGTACACCGACACCACAAACCTCCAACGCAGCAAGAATGCCCGTTCCACAGACAACAAACGCTGTCCCAGTCGCAGCAGCAGCAGCAGCAGCAGTAGCCGCAGGAGCAACAGCACCTGCATCAGCATCTACAGTAACCAGAACCACAGCCAGCGGTGGAACAGCAGCAATCCAAGATGATCGCACACAAGGACAGGTTTTAAGCGATTTTCTGCATCAACTAGAAGATTACACACCGACCATCCCAGATGCGGTTTCAGCCTATTTCTGTCAAACAGCCGGATTCGAAGCATCCGATCCACGGATTGTCCGTTTGATTTCAATTTCTGCACAAAAATTCATCTCCGACGTTGCAAACGATGCCCTTCAGCATTGCAAAACCAGAACAAGTACATAATTGCATTGGAATTGGTATTGAAGTGGTATTGATATTAACGCATTCAATGTTTTTTCCTTCTAAAATTTAGGTAATGCCGGCTCGCACGCTTCATCCAAAAACCAAAAGACACAGAACAATAAAGATCGCAAATACACACTTACCATGGAGGACTTGGCACCGGCTCTCAGTGACTATGGCATTACTGTTCGTAAGGCACACTACTTCGTCTAAGGTTATCAACCATCAATGCGATTATCACACACCGCAGACGATCTTACTCGTATTTCTTATGTTGAAATTTTGATTGAAGAAATCGAGTCAAGGATTTCAAAATCGATACAAATTTAATTCATACAATAATAAATCATAATCAAGAGAGGAAAAAAAGACACCGAATCTTGTATTTTATTTTATTCATGTTTTTTTGTTGTAGTGTAATGTTTACCGCTAAGCGTATTTTAAACAAAGTATTAAGTTGAATTAATGCTCTATAAAAATACTACTATGACTTACAGCTAGGATGATTCCATTTTACCTGTAAATTTGTTAAGCGTCGATTGTTCGATTGTTCGGTTCACCAATATCTCTCCTTACAAACGAATAAAATAAAGTATATCAAAATGCTTATCCGTGAGAACAAACAAAACGGATCAGGAATTCGAGTGCGGATTCACGCAGAGCATACTCCGTATACGGCTGAAAACGTTGCGCCATTTCGTTTTCATCATTCAACAATGTATAATAACATTTCAATTTGTGGTTGCAAATCATCATGATTGATACCATTTGTATGTTTCGGTCTTAGTTCACGGCTTAAATGAGTGGCCGACCATGTTCACTTTGATTTCATAGTTTTTGTTTTATATGTAAATGTTCTTTTTTTCTGTGGGATATTGGGTTATTCGGTTAGATTTGTCCTTTTTGATGGTTTTCTTCGTGTTCAGCAAAGTTTTGAGTCTTCGTGTGTGCAATCAATGGTTTGTTGTCAACAATGTTTGTGTTGTTGTATTTATAATTGAAAGTCAAGTACCGAATAGCAAAATCAGCGGTCGTTGTTTCATATTGTTGGTATGAGTTGTTGTTTGGCGTGTCGGTTTGGGTGTTTCGTTAATTTGTGTTTGGTTTTTTTTTTGTTTGGTCGATGCGATAAAGTTGAATTAAATGTGAGAGGAAAAAAAAGACAAATAAATAAAACCATAAATAAACGGTCCACATACATAAAGCAATTATGTTTGTAAGCCTGTTGAAAATGTTAAGCAAACTTCACAACAACAACAAAAAAAGAAAGAGCAATGCATTAGTGTGTTTGAAAAGTTGGTGTCGGTCAAAAGTGCGATATTCAGTCAGCGGAAAGTGTCATTCAATGGTTGAGAGTTCACGTTGTGTTACAAATTACAATTAAAATGCAATCGATTATACCATTATTTCCAATGGAAACTACTTACCACCGTGCGTCACGTTGTGTAAGCGGTGTCCTCTAGGTTTTTTTTCAATCGCACTTAATGTGTTAATTAATCATCGTATCGTTTCCTCTTCGCGTCTCGAGGCTCTTCGGCTTCCATCACTTTTAGCTTAACGCCACATATTTCCGCCGAATGCAATACTTCGATCGCTTTCATGGCACTCGACTCACTCGCATATTTCGCGTAACCACAGTTTTTATTCGGCAATAAGTATACATCGATCAAATCACCAAATCGAGAGAAAACATTGTTTAGCATTTTTGGTGGGAGCGCCTAGATTGATCAATAGTTTGATTAGACTCTTTTGTTGTTACAAATCAATGACATCGAAGATCATAAGTCAAGTGTGGCGTTCTTACCTTTGGAACGCATACTATAAAACATCGTTGGGCACATGGACTCGTTGGGTTTGCCAATGGTAAGGGTGCAGGTAAGGCAACACTGGAAAATGGTTCTTTTGTGGATTGTGAGGCTGAAAATAATTTGGAATGATTACTTAAAATGGAATATTCTTTAGATTTTTAAAATGTGTTCTGGATAGCCTACATTCGAATGAAAAAATATTTTCCACTTCGCTTGGTTTGCTGGTACTGTTAATTGCTTTAATGATAATCCGTTGACCTGGTGGATACTCTAAGCCATGTATTTTCTCCCTGCGTAATGATCAAATGTAGTCTATTGTATTTGTATTACTTGTGCGGTATTCAGTGTGGAAACTTACCGCGCATATTGTGCTGCATCCAGACTGCTGTATGCGGCTGTCGCATAGTTTGAGTTCCTATTGCATTCGCCTGTAATGTGACAATACTCCAAACCAGGCACAATGTCGAAAAGTCGCCAAAGTTGGTCTTGGTTGACTGTCGAGCTTACAATTACATTTAGTTGCACTTCGCTGTTATTGCCATTATTTCCCGAACTGGCGTTAAAATTGGTTTTATTTGGATTCACTGGATTGTTTAGAAAAGTTGAGTAATCCAATCGACTACCGTGACTACTCCCGAAAGCGTTGTTGCCACTGCTACCACTCCCACTAGTGCTGCCACCACCACCACCACCACCGCCGCCGCCGCCGCCGCCACCACCACCCCCACTGCCACCGTATGAAACCATACTGTAGTCATCGTGTCGACTCCCAGAACGATCTGACGTCGAACTGTTTGTTGCGCGTGAACTACCTTTTGGCTCCGCAAAAACCGCTCTGTATTTCCCACCAACTCCTTCATAGGCTAGTGCGGCATGTGTAAATCTGTAACGATGAATTAGCAAAAAAAAACCTTGAAAATATATTCGAGTTTGGTACGGTGTGTTTACTTACTTAAAAAACTTAACATAGGCAAATCCTTTGCATTCACGCGTTACTTTGTCACGAATCATCGATACACTTTCCAATGGGCCATATTCCTCGAACTCTGATCGCAGATCCTCTTCGGTCATATTTTTAGGAACAATTACAAATAATCGAACATACTTTTCATGCTCGTTTTCGCTACGGCCGGAACCCTGATTCCGACTATCAAGATCAAAAAACAACCACATTCAAACAAACACATGAAACATTAAGAAAATAAAACAATAAAGCCGAATCTGAAATACCTAGAGGCAACCAGCACTTTTAATGGCCTGCTTCCAAGTGGTGTACCCAATGTCTTTCCGTTCATTTCTTCAAGCGCTTTCGCTGCTTCCGATGTTTTACTAAATTTGATGTAAACAACACCTGTAAAAAAACCAACAACGTTTGTTAATAATTGCCTTTATTCACCTGTTCACCCGTCGAATACAAACCTTTGTTGTCGCCAGTATTGCGATCTTTTATTGTGTAAATCTCCTCAATTTTGCCGAATTTCTGGAATGCCTCTCGAAAATCTTCCTCCGTATTTTGTTTATTGCATATAATAAATAAACCTTTTTTTGAAGAAAAAAAAAACATCAATTTGTGTGTAATTAAAGTGTTAATTAAAAGCAAATGCGCTTGCTTACGTGACATTGGAGGATCATCAGAATTTGGTGTGCCATTACTCCGAGATGTATCTTCATTTCGTCGATTCGACATGATGTGATGTGTGTGTGGGAAGTCTTTTCTTTTGCTCTACACTTCTATATGATTCTTAATATTAAGTAAGTTCACCGTGAATGTTTTGTTGTTAGCACAAATAAATGATTAAAATCTTCAAATTAAATCAACAAATTAGGAATTGCCATCGAAATTTCGATATTTTAAAAGGCAAACAAAGTGATTGAAATGATCAAGGTGATTGTGGCTTATGGAATATGAACCCCTTGTATTATTTTGATTAACAAAAGATGTGTTATGTTTTGTCTTGATTTGTGTCCGGCTTCTATTTGCCCTTCTTCTTCTTATTCTTTTTCTTTTCCTCCTCCTCCTCCTTCTTCTTCTTCTTCATTTGTGTTCACTTGTATGTGCACACAATGAATTGCAAGCAAGCATCTATCCCATAATATTACAAATGTTTACGATAAAAAAAAATATTGAACGCAGTCCAATTTGACAGTAAATACGAGTAAGAGACAAACAAGAGGTCGTCCGAGCGCATACACATAGAAGTATTGGCCACATGGAAGTTGAATGATCTACTCTTTGAACGAACTCATTATTCGTCAAATAATACAATAACATGAACTGCGTTGTAAATACTTCCGATAAATTCGTTTTGACAGAAAACTATTTACGATTCATTCATTTGATTTATTCATTATCAGTTTCGAAGCCTTCAATAGAGTCTAATTTCTCTTCCTTGCAGTCATGCTATTACTGCACAATCAATTTTAATTTTATTTGCTTAGTTGATTGTCAAGTTGAATTATCCAGTTGTAACAGTGAACGGAATTGCATGCAAGGGAAAATGTCATATATGACATTCGTATACAAATTGGAAGAACGAATGCGCGAAACCATATGTCTGAAAAATATATGTATGCACACGAATTTCCCAAGTGTCGTTTGAATGTCTCGCACACACCAATACACGTGGACACGAATAGATTTTTTCTTTTCATCAACGATTCATTCAGTCAAGCTAAGCGAAAGACAAGGATAGAAGAATGTTTTGTATGAAAATGTCAGTCGTTCTCTTCTATTGCTTCCTCTAGATCGACAGCAAAACGATGAAATAAATCATGTGTCGACGAAAAAACGTGTCTCCGTTGATTTGAACGTCTTCGCAATAGTTTCAGTTGTTAAAAATGTCGGCATCGGTAAAAAAGCAACAATTTGATCCTCCCAGTTCTGCCAGTTCCGAAAGGTAATTTTTAACGCATACGGGAAAAAATGGATTTTATTTTCACATTTTGTTCATTGTATTCGATAAATTTTAATTGAAATGAATGAGAGAAATGTGCTGTGTCAAATGTGTCCGCACGTATTATCTGTATACATATCCCGACCAAGTCAATGTGATTCTCGTGTGCCATGGACGTTAGCATTATTTATTTTTTCCTTTCTTTCAAGTGCTGGAATGTGTTGTACACTCGCTTGTATCACAGTGATTGAAAAAGTTTCTTCCTGTGCTCCGAAAAAAACGTGACAGCGTTTGTGCCCCTTTTCAGGTTAGCTTCTTCGATGTATGTATGTGCTGTATGTATGGTTTAGTTCAGTTAAGCGCCGAATTTGTTTGAATCAAATTTGCCTTGCATCACTTTGCTCTTCTTCGGTTGGTCTGTCCGTTGTGTGTGCGCGTGAGTTTGTGAGTATGCGTGCGTGTACCTTTCCGATGTGAGGCCCACAATTATTTGTTGTATTGCCTTTTTATGTCTTTATTTACTATATTATCATTCGGAAAAATGATTATGGAACGGCCGCGATGTTTTTACCTACTCTTGAGTTAGCGAAATACGCAGTCGATTTATAGCAAAGAGAAACATTGGATCGCGTGGCGAACAGGACAGAGAGAACATACGGCAGAGAGAATAGAAAAGAATATGGACACAAACACACAAGAGCAAAACGATGTCGAAACAGAGAATATAGTCCCAAATAAAATGATGCAGAATTGAGCGTCTGCCGACTTGCTTACTTCCGATATTTTCGTCTCCGGTTTGCATTGGTCACGTCATTATTTTGTGGAATCCTCTATATTGTATTGTGCATTTTGGTGAAAGTTTGATTTGAAAAAAAAGGCAAGAGAAAAGACACTTCACAATATACTTCTCTAGTTCTACATCAAATTTGTATCCGAAATGTACGTGGCGTGTGATGATTGACAAAAATTCAGTTCTTAACTAATAAATTATGTTGTTTTAAAATTACACAAATGCCGATCGGACTATATTTTATTGGGGACTAGATAAGTGTTCGGCCGATTTTTAGATGCGGTTTATTGCCTCTTTTTTGTTCGCTATTAAAACTCTTCGATCCATATGATAAATTAGCACAACGCAACAACAACAGTTATAAAGAAAACCAGTGTGACGAAATCAAATTTTCTGCATCCGTACCCTACTTACTTTAATTAAAGAAGTAGACGAAGATAGAAGAAATCGGTTTGCTACGTGGGAATTTCTTTTGTATTTGTAAATTTTTGTGTGTGATTTAATTGGTTCACCAAATTTGTTGGCGCATGAATTTATTATTTAATTTGTCATTTATACGTCGATGTTTGATTAACCGGTGATAAATAATACGACTACACCTATTTTTCTCGCATCGTTGAAATATTTTCATTTTAATTAAATCCATCAATAAAATACGTCGCACAACATCCTGCTAGTTTTCCACACCAACAAAGAGAACGATAAATCAACGGAAGCAGACCAGCGAGAAAAGAGAATTTCAAGGAAATCATGCCGTCTAACACCAAGTTCAACATGTAAATAATAACATTATATACATATGTTTGTTTGTTTTGTTGTTGTTGTTGTACCTCTCCATTGATTAAAAGCTCTATTTTGTTAACAAAACGAACTAAATGTCATGGAGCCTTATCAGAATCACTGTCCGAGGTGTATTGCATCCAAGTGAATCATGTTTAAGGCTGGGTAAACCTTTGGAATCGATTTCGGCTCATTCATGGCGAACTGTGACATTTTCTATTCCGGCTATTTCGAAATTTCAACGTTTGTCGAAGAAATCGAATGACTCAGAAAAATGTGCTTCGAATGCAGAAACAACGTTGACACATATACTATTTAGCCGATTGACGCGGTTTGTTTGGGACTCGTCGAGCCGATATCTAAAAATAGTTTCTGAAACTATAGTTCAATCCAGATCCACCCGTTTCCAAACGAATCAATTGCGAATTTAAATTTAGTCATTTATGTGTATGCATGATTAACTTTAAAAATTTCAGATCACCAGACCAAACCAAATTTATTTTTCCAATTGGTTGCTGCACCGTATTTGAGTGGTGTTAAAATGGTTGATTAGATTTTTAAATAAACCGGCATGGCAAGAAACACCAACTCAGCCATCTTTTCAGTACAAAAACACATATTGCGCACATGCCCATATCATATCCGTTAGGTTACGTGCAATCGCATGCATAGCGATTGCATATAAATATTTCATACATTTTCGAACAATTCTAGACTGTTTTCAGTGTTGGTCGCGAAATTTCTGACTCACAATCGTTTCATTATCATAATGGCGTAATTCCATTTGATGGCGTAATTCCATTCTCGTGTTAATTTAACTCCTTTTTGCGATATATACGTTTTGATCAAATGGCGAACATGGATGAAAACAGTTGTGTAAAGTCTGATGTAACGTTGCATAACTCTTTCAATTCGTGTGTAGAAGTCTTCACATTTCAATATATTATGTACCGCACTGATAACAATTCTACCGATCAGATGTTAAAGGACGTTTGTTTGTTTTCATTGAAATTGAAAATAAAAGTATTTGTATTCATCGGTTCTGAATTACTGATAACACATAACAGGATTGGTGTTTTTGAACCAGAGATTACTATGGGATATTTTTATTCATATGGGATAGAAATATCGCATAAAAAAACCAGATATTTTTCGCGCGTTGTGTTCAGCGAAACGCATTAATACACAATAGCGATTCTGCACACACAGAGTCGCTGTTTTTTTTCGTTATACTCTTCACACTTACGATGAGCTGCGTGGAGCGTGCATGCACATGTTTCGCTCACTTCTTTCTTTGCACACTCTTCGTGTGTCAACACAATGTCTGTGTGTGTATCGCTTGTGCCTTCATTTGTAAACGACGTCAATGAGCTGGGTACGAAGAGTGTCGATCGAAAGAAAAGAGCAAAACATATATATGCATGCATCGCGCAGCTCATTGACTTCATTTACAAACGACGGCACAAGCGATACACGCACAGACATTGTGTTGACACACTAAGAGAGTTCAAAGAAAGAAGTGAGCGAAACATGTGCATGCACGCTCCGCGCAGTTCATCGTAAGTGTGAAGTGTATAACGAAAAAAACAGCGACTCTGTGTGTGCAGAATCGCTATTGTGTATTAATGCGTTTCGCTGAACACAACGCGCGAAAAATATCTGTTATTTTTATGTGATATTTCTATCTCATATGAATAAAAATATCCCATAGTAATCTCTGTTTTGAACAACTTGTTTTCGAACGAAACAGTAACGAAAGCGAAATTCCCTCATCTATTGCTGTTGAAATGCCAAGATCGTCTATTTACATTGTTTTTCTTATAATTTTTCTGCGATTTTCGCACTGTCGATAAGTGATAACAAGTTGTCTGGGTTTCAGTACTCAATTCCATGTCCAAAAATAACATGTGAAAACCCACGAAGGACGAACATTTCCACAAACGTTGCACAAATTTTGTGTTCTGTTGCTCTTTTTGAACAGAACTTTCGGAGAGTGGGGCTGGTTGAGGTACCTCTCATTCAAAATGCCATTTTTATCAGCTGAAAATGCATCGTAGTTTAAAAATTTTGTAACCATAAAATAATGATGTAGTTGTGATTTTAAGTTCAGAATAAAAATGTTGCCGACAGTCCTTGTTATATCTGACAAGAGTCACGCTATCTAAAATCTAATTAGCATAACCGTTTCACAAAATTATCATTCGTGAATGTTGAAAGAGGCGAGTCGATAAAGAAATAAAATGTTGATGAATGTCACAAAAATGGATTTTCTGTCTGAAATGAAAACGCAATTCGTGACAAGAAAAAACATTTAGCCAGTGCTGGAATAACTGGAATTTGAAGACATATAATTGACTTTGACTGTTAAATTAGTAGTTTCTTTGTTTGCATACATCTCAAACCTGACGCATATTACCAAATTTAAAGACATGTTTTGGCCGTGTCTTCTTGGCTTGAGATCAGTTCGATGCACGCATCGCATCGAGTGTGACATGGTTCATTCGTTCTTTCGATATACTGTTTTGATTCAAGTGTTGTTTTTTTATTTTGCAAAAATGTCCAAGTTAAAGTTTGTTAAAAAACGTTCGACGACCGCACTGTAAATTGCCATAAAATATTCTAAAGCATTCATACAACTTTGGACTTTCATTTACATACAAACTGTTTTATTATACACCATAACATTTGCTCTCATATAGTTTCTTTTGAATAAATAGTAACCACCATGAAATATCGCATAGACAAGAAAGCATTCCATAAAACGAAATGCAATCAACTGTTTCATTGCTCAAGCGCAAAAGAAAAATCTGAATTTCCGGCGACGTTTAACCACTTCATCATCGTTCTTATTCTTGTCATTCTTTTCTTTTTTCTCCCCCTTTTCAATTTCCTTCTTTCGATTTGATCGTTTATCGTCCTAAAATGGAAAGTTGGCATCACATTTAGCATTTTAATCAAAATATTGTTTAAAAATGTTGTATTTCACCTCCACAAGTTCACCAACTTTAAGCTTAGCTAGAATTTTCTTTGCATCACTGGAATGTCCAAAATCATCAAAATCTTTTGTACAATCACGGCCTGCCACATCCAATATCAATTCATCACCACCGGGATGCTAAGAAACGTATCTCGTTTGTTTCATTTAGTTATTAAATAATTTTTGAAATGTCACTTACGTCTTTTAGATAATCACTGACATCGTATACCATATCATGGATCACTACCCACGTCTTAGCACCATTTTTACCATTGTGGCATTTGATTTCTTCCAATGTATATGTGTAATGTAGCTCAGACATGATTTTATTCACTTAATTGTCTTATTTGATCGCAACAAATTCACAGTGCACTCCAATGGCTTGATACGTTCTGATCGCGTGTCAGCACAAAAGTGACAATTATTCCGGGAGTTTTGTTATATATAGGAAAACCCAATACACATCGTGGGCAATTGAAGATAACAATGTTTACATTGGTAGTGAAAAATATAGCTCCGTCAAGTCCGTATTTTTTTTTTAAATGATTAAACTTTGAATGATACGTGACCGATTTCTTTGAAATCAAACACATGCGTGACAATGTCGGGAATTACGAAGGAAAAAAAAATAAATAAAATCATCGGAACTACCGGCTAGTACAAAATATCAAACACTGTCACATTTCGTCATTACGTGTTATCTTTTGCATTTGAAGATGATTTGTCTGTACGTGAGGCGACAGTCGTTCTAGTTAAAGATTGATAATAATCGATTATAGATTGATAACAATGATAGGCTTTTGATATTAAGTAACATGGTAATTTCCAACTTTAAGGAGTTAGTGAAAGTATTAGTATTGACATCGTAATCGGTCGAATCGGAAATTGAAAAAAGTGTGGCATTTTTATCAATTCCACAGTGTGTTATCATCACTTTTATTTACGGTTTTCCCTGTTTGCTAGTATTTTAAGTCCCATTTGTTAGTAATAACGAACTCACAATGTGCTGTGTATTAATCATATACTGTCATATTTTTTCACGCTGGTGGCGCACCTAGCCCATGGATGGATGTACTATGGGTTAGCTGAACTATGTAACTGAATGTCAAGTTGGTTGTGTATAAATTTTGACAGAACTTCTGCGGCCATCACCTAGTTGCGCCACATATCACATCGTTCCATAGACATTGTGAGTTCGGTAATAAAACAGCACTCACAGCAAAAACAAAAACAATAATGACTAATTGATTTGTGTATGTGTTTAAATTACTTAGTCTGATTACTTCTTGATCATGTCATTCAAATTAACCGACGATTAAAACTTGTATTTTGTATTTCCTTCTTTACAATAGTGATGCTGGAGAGAGGGAGCCGATTGTAGCCTCAGATCCAATTTACATTGAAACGTCCAATCACACAGACGATCCGGACTTTCAAAATGACAATGATCTCTTCTGCCCTGCATCGCCCACCACGGTTCCAGCATCAGCCATCAAATCTCGATCGAATTCAGGCATGTATTTTGAACAAATCAAGTAAATTATTGTACAAATTGACTCATATATCGAGCATGACGAAAAAAAATACAGGTTCATTACGATCACCAAGGCAACGTAGACAACGCACAACATCTATGAATCTAACCAAAACGATTGATGCAACGGAATCAATAATTCGTGCAAACAACCGTACAATCTACACAGCTGGTCGTCCGCCATGGTACAATTGTGCTGGGCAACAAGTCGAACCATTTGTAATAGGTTTGTTTTTTATTGCTATAGAAAAAACCAGTCAAACGAATCCCGCAATTAATATCTGTTTACATTTTGTGTGCATTTCTGGTTGTCGACAACCGATATAATATGTACAAACAAAATCAAATCAAATGGCATGCCATCACAGGCGTTTGCGGTGGAAGCGCATCTGGTAAGACAACAGTTGCTCAGAAAATCATCGAGAGTCTGGACGTACCGTGGGTGACACTGTTATCAATGGACTGCTTTTATAAGGTAAACGATACTTAACGATAATCAAGTATCATTTTGTCTAAAATGAGTATTTGTTAAACAGTATCTCGATGACGATAAGCACCAAAAAGCCGAACGCAATGAATACAATTTCGATCATCCGGATGCATTTGACATTGATCTCATGGTTGATGTATTGCGTAAGCTGAAAGAAGGTAAAAAAGTGGAAGTGCCAATCTATAATTTTGTGACACATCAACGGGAATTAGCGACAAAAACCATGTATGGAGCAAATGTCATAATTTTTGAGGGAATTTTAGTGTTTCACAGTCAAGAGGTGTTAGATATGCTAGATATGAAAGTATTTGTGGACACAGACGCTGATATACGTTTAGCTCGACGCCTGAAACGGTAAATTTCAATTTTGAACGTCATTTTTTCGCCAAAACTTTCTATAACTCCGACGTTGAATAATACTATGAACATTTTTGCAGCGATATTACAATGAGAGGTAGAGATATCGAGGGTGTGATCAAACAATATTCGAGCATGGTGAAACCAGCTTACTGTAACTATATCGCACCAACAATGGCTCATGCAGATATTATTGTTCCACGCGGCGGAGACAACAAAGTTGCCATTCAACTGATTGTACAGCATGTGCATACACAGTTACAATTGGTAAATTCATTATGCGACCTACTCCACCAAGCTGATCTGCTAAATTTATCGATCAATCATTTTTTTTCCAGAGAGGCTTTAAGTTAAGAGAACGCTTAGCACATTCATATATTGGTCAGCCCATGCCTGATTCATTGCATCTATTGCCGACAACACCTCAAATAAAGGGATTGCATACATTTATTCGGAATCAAGAAACATCGCGCGATGAGTTCATATTTTATTCGAATCGCCTAATTCGATTGGTCATCGAATATTCACTAGGGTTGATGCCATTCAAAGAAGCAAAAGTTGATACACCGCAAAATTTATCATACGAAGGAAAAAGAATGGCATGTGAAAAAATCTGTGGTGTTTCCATTCTACGAGCCGGTGAAACGATGGAACAAGCCCTTTGTGATGTATGTAAGGATATACGCATTGGAAAAATACTTATTCAAACAAATCAAAGTACTGGCGAACCAGAGGTATGTACCACCATGTGTGTGTATTACGTTTGCTACATTGACCACGATGTTATTTCATCCTTTCCAATGTTCAGTTATATTATTTAAGACTGCCAAAAGATATAAGAGATTGTCGTGTCATATTAATGGATGCCACGGTTGCAACGGGTGCTGCTGCGATGATGGCTATTCGCGTTCTATTAGACTATGATGTACCCGAAGAAAATATACAGCTAGTATCGTTGTTGATGGCTGAAATTGGTGTTCATTCAATAGCTTATGCATTTCCAAAAGTAAGTTAACCCTAACGTGTAGCTACAATTGAGTACCACATGATGAATCATTTTTGAGCATGTTTGTTTAATTGAGATATTTGAACAAAGTTCGGCACACACACTCTTAAAACAATTAGCAAAGCAAAGCATTGGTTTTTGAAATAAATTTGTAACACTTGCCAAGATCTTTGCAATGCTTGTTATTACTAAAAGACGACTAACATACTCAAAAAATACAGTGAATTCAACATATGCCACGAATCTGTATGTTAATCGAATCAAGTGTGCACATTTTGCACACTGTGTGCTGTATGAACGTTCATTAATTAATTGCATTCAATATATAAATTAGGTTCAAATAGTGAGCACAGCATTGGATCCAGAAATTAATGATAAATTCTACGTGATTCCCGGCATCGGGAACTTTGGTGATCGTTACTTCGGAACTGAACCCGAAATTATTTACTAGATTTCAACCAAGCATATATACACACAACAACGTTCATAAGAAAATGATGATGCTGACGCTGACGATGATAATCATTCTCATTCATAAATGATGTATTGGCTGCTCATCCTCTATACTCAACCAACATGAGTTCAAGAACCAAAAGTAAAGATTGTAATTTTAAAATAAAACTTTTATATGGCATATTAATTTTATGTGTTAGATATTGATCAATGAGCATTTTGTTGACGATGTTCAAAAATTATATACAAATGGTTTATTCATCTGTGTGTTAAATGTTTGTTTGAGTGGTAAGGTATCTGACGAGTGCTTTTCAACAGTGCTCAAAAATAAATCATCTTTGCATTCATTCAAGAGGTTATTTCAGATTATCTATAAGTTCAGTTTATTTGGTCACTCCGGCGACCGATAACGAATTTAAATCAATAACCTAGAGAAAATGAATAAACATTTTACATCAAACTAACGCATCTGTTTTTTTTTTCAATTGATGATGACAAATGGGGTACTCTTCTCGAAGTTTGAATAAATTTTGAGCAAATTAGACAATACCTACGTTTTACAGTGAAACAGACATTTTGGACAGCGACGTGCTTTTCGTCAAAGACGTGCTGTTTGTAGAGTTATTTTTTTCTTTTTCTTTATGAAATGTGAGATTTAAGCAAACAGAAATTTCCAATTCAGAACAAAGTATGTATTTTTACGTCAAACAACGTAATAACAAACGGTTTTTGTTTGGATTTATTATTTTTATTCTATTTCGCTTAAAAATTTCCATATGTATCGGTAGACTAAAGCGAGGAACAGAGCAACCATCGCATATATGAATGCAGCATTTTTGTTATCGTCAGACGACCAGTTGGTAACGCATCCGTTAGTTTCGCTTGATTCAAGAGTAGCTTTGGCTATTTTCTCATGTACATTTTCCGAACTAGTACTGCACGATTGCCACTTCTCTTCAGCATCCAGAAGTTCGCCGAGCATTGAGAATTTCGTAACGGAGGTTATTCGTGTACGAACTGATTTTCCCAACAGATTTTCTTTCATTGGCAATAAGATTTGCTCATAGAACTTGTTATGGCCAACGTAATATTTTTTATCATGTGAGATGTCTGTAACTAATGCTACATATTCTTGGCCAACCCGATCTGCATACGGTTCATACGAATTGAAAAGATCTGTCAGTCGTTTTGTACGCGTTTTGACTAAATTGGCTGGTATGCGTTTCATTTGAGCAGCTGGTGTTCCTGGTCGTGGATAAAATTGGTTGATAAATAAACTCGGGAATTTATATTTTTCGCAAAGTGTCATAGTCTCTTCGAAGTCAGCTTCGGTTTCAGTGGGAAAACCACAAATTATGTCTGTCGCAATGGTGATGCCGGGAACTCTGCAAATTAATAACAAAATATTCAATTATTACTACCTATAATAGCGATGGTGAAAACCAATGGACAATTACCGTGCTCTAAGTATGTCAACGACCTGCTCAAATTCTTTTCTACAGTATTCTCGTTTCATCTCACCCAATACCGAATCGGACCCACTTTGTACGGGAACATGCAAAAATGAATAAACGCGTGGTGTCTGGAAAATTTTGGCAATTTCTTCCAAATGTTCAAGAATATACGGTGGATTCGTCATTCCTACTCGTAACATACAACCATCCGGAATTACTTCAGTTAATTTCCACAAAAGTTCGGGTAACGATGTACCAATGTCCCGGCCATACGTTCCTGTATCTTCAGATGTAAGCCAAATCTCACAAACTCCTTGTTTGAACGCTTGTACGGCTCGTGCAATAATTTCCTCGGGTGGATAGCTGGACAAATTTCCGCGAGAGTGTTTAGTTTTGCAATAGGTACATTGATTCAAACATCCTGTGTTGATTGCGATAATTTCAACAAGTGGATTTTTCCGAATTTTCGGCAAATCTAATGGTGCACCGGCCAAGTATTTGCCATTCACTTTTTTTGGTTGCAACAAACGAACAGTATGTCCTTTTAGTGTTTCCTCGACCACTTCTACGATACGATCTATTTGACGAACTCCGATTATACTGAGCCCTTTAAGGTAATCTGATTTCGGGGCTCCCTGTGGCACACAGCCCGCTACAACAACATGCTTGCCCGTGTCCAATCCACTTTGGATCTCGTTCCTAAAAGTGTCTTCAGATGGATTCTTCACTGTACAGCTATTCAACAGCCATAAGTCGGCTGCACCTTTATCGCCAGTCAAGTTGTAACCATATGATGCCAGCTGATTAAAGATGAAAAATCGGTATTTATTCACGTTTTAAATGAATGTTTAACAATTAATAAATCAATACCTGCCCTGCCATATACTCTGAGTCGGAATTATTATGCGCACAGCCCCATGTTTTGACATAAACCTTTTGTGTGCCTGGAATCACACTTTCTAGAATGGGTCGTTCGATTTTTTCGAGCTCTGTCGTTCCATTTGATATTTTCAATGGTTGACGTTTTTTTGCACGAACGGTAACATCTTTTTTGTTGGCATATCGTTCTTTCGGTGTTATGTCTTGTGACGAAATCAAATCCTCTATATCGTCAATAATTTCATTGCAAGCCGATGTTTTTTCCATTTCACCAGCAATTCGTTATACACGTTTTATTTGCGTATGTCGTCACGTGAAGCTAATTTGGCAATTCAAACACTTTGATGAGTTTATCTCACCACGATTACACGAATAATGCGCTCGTCGTCCGACAAGATTAAATCCTTTATGTTTTGTCCGATTTTTCTCTTAAATATTTTCGTTTTAAATTCAAGAAACCAAAAAAAAATCTATTCAAATAAAAATGGACAATGCTATTGCGGTTATGTATTTGATCACATTTCCGAAAATGTCACAATGAAATTGACATTTAGATTAGTTAGTGGAATGAACACCAGGATGTCGTTCGTAGTTAGAGCAACCGCCATTGGAAAAATGTAACAACGAACACTGAGCATGTTCACAAACTCAAATTGTTGAGTTCTTTTGGTTTCGAACGTCGATGGGAACAGTTCGTTCTCTCCTCCAAATCAATTTTCACGGAATATATTTCCATGAAATGTGTGTTTACTCCAACTATATCAGGTAAATTTGATTTTATATATTTCTGTTTAAGTTTTCATTTCTCTACGGAATAATAGCTTTGACTCAATAGAAAAGACACTAGTTGATTTTTAAACGATATTTTTCCGTATAAAAGGAAATACTTTCCGGCACTTTTTATTGAGCATTTTTGTTTTATTCTGGGTTTATGATTTAAAAAAAAACGTGTTCATGAGCATGCTACGCGCAACAAATTGTTAAAAGTATTTACTTTGTTTTTTACTGATCGTTTTTCCGTATTTTTTTCTACTATATTTAGAAAAAGAAGCATGGTTAAGTGAACGAAGTCGTGCGACATAACCTCAATGTGAGGTTAAAATGTGATCAAAATGGGAAACACGTGTGAAATGCAATGAGCTACAGACGTATAGCTGCAGACGCATCCATTTGGGAAGTAGGTACATAAAAAGCGATTTATTTTCTTCAAGTTTCATTTTTAATGATGATTTTATATAAGAGACAAAGCATATACCTGAACAAAGTATGTGGATTTATATTTCTGAAAGAAAAAACAACTCAATTTTTCCTTAAAATTCTTTAAAAACAATCGAATCAGTTGAAAGTGTTAACAGCATGGTTTTTCTTTCAGTATTTGCGGCCAAAATCACACCTTTCCGACGGCGGTATCAGCTGCAGTATTTCATGGTGAGATTTCCCTTGTTTCTTTTTCCTCATTATTTCCATCGGTTAAATTCAATGTGATGAATATATTTTTTAAACAGTTATCCCTGTCATAAGAAATTTTGATGAAAACTTGTTTTCTGAAAGAAAAAAAACTTTTCCTTTTTCGAAATGGTTGCAATTTTTTTTTCTAAACATGCGGTTGGCGATAACTTATCCGTTGTTTTTTTTTCTTCACTTTGAAACAGCATGCATCTTGGATCCATCATGTGTAAGACAAACGCTTCCGATAACGGAATTTAGGAGTGAAGAAAAGGTGATTTGAAAAACGAAAACATTATTATTTAGTTTAGAGTAATTTTTCGTGATGATTGTCTCTACCGCCCCAGACCTATTCTATTGGAACTAGTTAATAATATGAGGACCGGTTTCTCTGAATATTTACTCGAAAAACCAGTTGTTCGAATCACTAATTTTTATTTTGGAAAAGCATTTACTAAGTGTTTTTTTGTTTCTTTTTTGATTGTTTTCCAGAAAATGAAGAAAAATATGCAATTGGCACCGATCATCAGCTGAATCAAAAGGTAAAATAAATTCAAATCAAATTTTTTTCAAATCGATGGTTCTGATGATCAAATTTATACGCTATTATTATTGTTCACGAGATACGTCTCTGAACAAATTGATTACAACTTGCCCTCACTGAAACATAATCAAAGAACAGCTTCGGCTCGCTTTATTTTTTGCTCTTTCACTAATGACCGTATTTTTAAATGTTGTTTTTCAGATTCATTTTGTTGGGAAATTGCACCTGTGGTTTACTGCCAGTTGATGGTCCTTGCTCACCCAAAAAAAAAAATAAATCCGCAAAAAATGCATACAAAGCAAATTCATTTAATAAAACAATAATATTTTACTTACAATAAAAATTGTGTTTCTTTTTTCTTTAATGATCATATTCGTAACAATTAAGCATTATTGAAATACGTTACAAATGGATAACTTCGGATTTAATATTCATTACTAACTGTTGCTTGCATTTGGCCGGTAAAAAAAGTTAAATCTCCTAAATATTTTTAAGATATTCACTACCAGATCGGTGTATTTATTTACAGTAAAGAAAGACTGTTACCATCGATGAATGTGTTTGTGTATGAGTTTTTTTTTATTGAAGGTAGAGTTTTGCTCTCACTTGGTTTTTTGTTCGCAATCAAGCATAATCACAACATTTTGTTTGAAGAAAAAAGTTATGAGCAAATTTTTGATTTTGATCGAAATGTATTTGCTTGCAAATTATCCGCAGTTCATTGCAAACTTATAAACAAAATTGAGTCATCACAGTTTAAATCAATTACTATCGAACACTCAAACTCCATTTTACACCAGAACTATACCCAGCTATTGTCGATTAATCTCTTCGTCCGCTTGATGTGTGGAAAATATCGCTTTTGCGATTTGTTCAATTTGAATAGTATAAAGAAAAAAAATGAGAGATTTACATTAAGGTTACTAGCAAACTAAAACATGGACAATTTTTACAAGAACAGTCGATGATAACTTTCGTTTTCATGAAAAGGGGCATTTGTGGACCACTTGTCTATTTCTTATTCCTTTTCGATTTGTTGATTTTTTGTTTTCCGTTGGCTCATTACACAACAATTTGTACATCCGTTAACACGAAGCTAACAAAATGGCTATGTTAAACACGAATCCAATTACAATATTCTGAAAAACTATACAACTTCACTGCCCGGAAAATGCATACCATTGTTACGATGATGTTCAAGATGATCGTGTTCCATTTGCTCTTTGAGAATTTCCAATTCGCGTATGCCAGAAGCGGTAACTTCGTATTTGTGGGTCATTAGTGATCGATAAAAATGTATGGCAAAAGCTAGAAACACAACCAGGACTGGTAGCAGTACGATGCATGCTGACCATGCCGCTTCTTTGCTTAAATCATAGAATTTGACCCAACATAAAATGGCGATTTCGATCAGAAACAGTATGAGGCCGAGCAGTGTGGAGAAAGCCCAAGCGGTTTCGATGTACCAATGGAGACGTTCATGTGGCGATTCGTGGACCAGTGAAATACTATGTAAATTGCAAACAGCTTCAATATTTGGCAAAATACATGTGCTTATCATCAAGGCCAGCATATGAACGGCAACTAAGAGTGTTGTACATATGGCAAATGCCACCAGCATTCCGGTTGGTACATTTGTATCATTGTTAATTTGTACCTCAACCATTGCAACCTAGAAAATAATGTGAAACGTCAGTATTGGGATGAAATGATTGAAGCAAAAAAAAAAAACATTACCATGGCGAAACCAGACAAAAGTGCTGAAGTTTTGCTTGATGCTTTTAATTTGGCCCGACTCAGCTGCAATTTTCGCCATGACAAATAGCTTGGTGAGTGTAGATCATCGCCCGACTGTGACATTGCCGTTCGTCTCTGCTGGTTTCAAGTAGATCAAATGTCAAAAATGGTTGAATGCAAAGTAATGAGAAAGAGGGAGAAAGAGAGTGAAAAAAAAACAAATTGAAAATGAAAATTTTAGCTGTTTTTCTATGTTACGAGCAAAAAAAATTGGACTGTAATCAACTAGCAATATTTACAAATATAACCGAGAGAAGAAGAAGAAGAAGGAAATTTAGTAGAAAAGTATACAACACGCGTCAGTAAGGCCTAGTTTGAAATGCTTTATTTCGTTCCGACTTGTTTCTTCTTCTATGCTACTATTCCCTTTTCAACATAAATAATAAAATGAATAATTCGCAATTTTGTTCAACGCAAACATTCGTATTTTGTTTTTCTGTTCACATTCACATCAATATTTCAAGTTTTGTATTTTTATTTTATTACACATTTCTGAGCGTCTACATTTTTGTACACTGACACATTGCGTCGCTCACATACAGTTCACTTTTGTCATTGTTATTTCGCTCTCGCTCAGTTTCTATAGCCATCTCTGTTTTTTCTTTATTCACTGTTAAGCTGTTCGACTTCGCTGCTGGGACTGTGTGAAGAACGTTCAAAGTGGGCTAGCAAAAGCGATCGCTACACACTTGCAGATATACTACACTCAACTGATACAGTATTGGGTTTGCAAATGTATATGTGTATTTAGTTGCTTCTTTTTGGTTAATTAACTCTTTTTAATGTATAATTGAATCGCGTGTAGTAGTCTAATCCTATTTTCTGCCCTCCCCCACCTGATGAGGTATTGCACATCAAATCACGATGTTTTGCGTTAATTTTTTCTGATAGATTCCCCACATCGATTTCTACAGATGCATTTCATTCTATACTGGTGATTCGACTTAATGGCATTCTTTTGACTAGCGTATTTTATGGCTACAAGCCAATACAAATTCGTGTCGGAATCATTGTTGGAAGCAATCAAGTGCTGTTCTGAGCTCTACAAATTCTCAATTGAAACCACTTCAAACAGCAATTATGATTGAAGGCACTGGATACACGTGTTGGTTTTAGAAAAAAAAAAATTTGGAACCGGCTTTTCAATCAATAGCGATCATTGGTCGAAATTCGTAAACAAACATGCACAAGGTCAAGGACGTATACACATATACGTTTCATTTTGGCAAATCTATTTTTTGTCGAATTCCCTCATATTTTTTGATCGCAAATCTTTGCCTCAGAAGAAAAAAAAGAACGGAAGGAACAAACACACATTGCAAAATGCCAGGTTGCACGTATTTAAGCTCAAGGGTTACAAACAATATGAAATTTATACAATGAACTAGGTGGAAAAAACGGTTGTTCCTTTTCTCATCTCATCTTGTTGACGTGCTCATATAGTTTGCATCGTTTTACAATTCTTTCATTTCATTTGGTGTACAAGGTATTTTTACAGTGAAAACACAAACATGATCAAGTCAAGGCCGCGCAGTAGATTTGCAATTGCATACTGTATACCTAGGGGCATTTCTCACGAAAAGAATGAATGAATTCTTATGAATTTTGAAAAATTTCTTCCATTCGGTCCGATTCGATCAATATTTATCAATTCGTGTAAATAAATGTTCATTTACACTGAACTTGTGTTTTGGAAGTGGGTTTTCGTGGATCTCAAGTTCAGAACTGCTCCCGGTTCTGGAAGTGGATCTTCATCATGGGCCAGGGCATTGTCAAACCGGATCTGGTCCATCCTGAGGATCCACCAAAACCCACTTCCAGAATCGGGAGCAGTTCTGAACGAACCTTGAGATCCGCTAAAACCCACTTCCAGAACACTTTTATTCAAGCAATATCGTCATTTCAGTACATTTTCTTACAATTTCAATAAAAAAGAAGAAATAATAGACATTTTTGCACATTTGCTCAAATTGTTTGTGTGAGAAATGCCCCTAGCTGTATACTATATACATTAGCTAGAAAGAGCCTGAATATTGCATTTGTAATAGCCATCCGAAATGAAATAGCTTACTATCGTCATCTGTGCAATGACCACAAACATTTTAGAGGAAAAGGTTTAAATTTTGTACAAAATCAAAAAGAATAGTTTGTGATTTAAATTTAAAAAAAAAGTCGAACGATTGATAAGCAATACGACATCAGAACTCATTGAAAAAAAAATTGTTTTTCTCCATTTAATTAACACGGAACAAATCGGACAAAAAATTGATGCAAAACATTCTGGGCAATCAAGCAATTAAAATCAACAACTGAATCACGAACAAACCGTAAAATAGACGATTAGGTCATATTTAAATTGATAAGAAATGAATTGTTATATCTTGAACGAATCGCTCTCGTTATTAATGGAACAATATGGTTATTACCATTACTAGCTCAACCAGCTCGGCAAACTTCGTTGCACGTTAGAAGCACGTTCATTATGCGAAATTCGAATTTTAATTCAGTGGATCATGTACTTAGTGGCGTCAGCGTTTTTTTTTGCACAATTTTCCATTGCTTAAATAATGAAATGAACGAACCACACAGTTATGACACCCATTGAAAAGACATTAATAACAAATTCCATAGCGTTGATTGTTTACATTGTGAGCGCACTGGTAAACGGGAACAACGCAAATCATGGTGGAAAAGTAGAATGTTTCTGTTGTTCTGTCCCTTGAATTGAGTGCGATATCAAAGGGCTTCAATTAGTTTGTTCACTAGAACTCTGTCATATTTCGTGTAATGTCATGCATTTGCTATTTTTCTCATTGTTTTCAATTGTTTGGAAATCGAGAAAAAAAACAGTCTACAAAAATGGTGGTGGGCAAAAAGGGGAAAGAGTGACAGACAGACAAAGTGAGAAAGAATGAAAAAGAAGAAAAAGCAATATAATTGATAATAGAAATGGAGTTGGGAGCATGGGATAGTAAATTACTACACGGAATACTCACTTTCGTATGATTACTACAAATGCTGGTGCCTCGACCGAACACGGACTGCTGGATGTTACTATGAGCTGCAAAAACAAATAATAATTACGGAGATTGGTTAACGTTCAGAGTTGGCAAACAAACAACATTCCGGTTCCCGTAAGTACTTACTATTGTAATTGTGAGGACTGTTACTGTGGTGAAGATGATGTTGCAAATGATTGATATTGATATTGTTGTTACTGCTTGAACTGTTGTGATTCAGGTGGTGAAGATTGTTAGATACGCTGCCAGTGCCAACACTATTTCCGATGTGCAAAATTTGTGGCTGACCCTTGAGATTGTTTGTTATCGTGTTTGTGTGTTGTTGCAATGTGGAACCGATTGCAGCCGCAAGAGCTGTTTCTAGCCCAGTTGTGCTAGTCGTCCAAAGAGACATACCTCACGAACTGCGAACACATTTCGAATATTTATTACTTTGCACTCGCACATAAAACAACTGGCCAAAATGTCAATCGTGAATCTTCTACTAAGTTTCTCTATCTCTCTCTCTCTCTCCCTCTCTCTCTCTTTCTCTCTCTCTCTCTTTCTCTCTCTCTCTCTCTCTCTCTCTCTCTGCTTGTACTAACAAATGATCACAACGACTAACTAACGATATGAGCACGCATACACTGATTTTCCTTCGCCTATACAACTTGCATTACTCTTTCACAAACAAGGTCTTTTTGTATTCATTGTTGAAATAATGTGAACAAATAACGACAAGATTTGCGCCTTTTAAACAAACCGAACCAATCGATAAACGTATGCTCGCTCTCAATCGAGCAATATATTTTTTCTTTAGCTTGCTCAAATGTGCTGCTGTCCCCACGTTAGTGAAATAAATTCTTGAATAACCGAATTATTTGCCACTAATATCAAAATGAGAAAATATGAAATGAAACTTCCCCTTTTTCTAGTGCCTTCAAATAGACATATGCCTCTATTTTCATTTGTCAATGAATCTATTTGCAAATTTTAGCAATCTACTTATTGTGCAGTGCTTTTGTGCAGCGAAAATATTCGATTCGAACAACTAAATGAAGTGAAATTGTCATTGACTACACGTCGTCATTTATTGGCGTTCGTATATTGGGGTAAACTCTTAATATTTCGCTTGTATTCGTGTGCTCACACATGCTTTCGATAAGTTGTAGAATATGGGCAATTTTCAGAAGACTCCTTCGAATGTTTACATTACGAGCGTACACAGTGCATACACATATACACACACAGACACACACACATACGGAAGCACGCACGCACATTTGTTTCAGTGATGGCAACATCGGCATTTTCATTTTGATAAACAAACAAAACTTACTGTGATACGAAGCCGCCGAATACGTTCATTTGCCGTGAAGATACGGAGTGAAAGTACGCATGAGCGTCAGTGTGTGTCGAGCTTTTTTTCTCTCTTTTTTAAAATTGTATTCAATAAAAAGTCGTTTTATTCTACAGTCTACACACCAGCCGACCACTCGGAATGTGACTGTCCGGATCGGATTCTGTTGAACGTTTCAGACACGCAATTTTGTTCTGGGTTTAATTTGGCTTCAAATCTTTGGTGCGAGGATTTTCAATAGTAAAACGAGTTTTTACACGTATGCGTTATCCAATGAATAACTCTTCATTAACCCAATTTGTTGTTTTTCAGTATTCGATTGATAAAGCAACAAAGAAAAATCGTGCCGAAAATTGTAGTGATAGTAGCATATTCATTTAATGATCAAATAAACTGTATAACTATGGGCAAATAATCAAGTTTAATTGACCAATTAATTTCCACAGACATTCACGAAAATTAAATTATGGGAAAAAAAACGTAGGTCTACGGAAATTAATATTTACTGATTGTGGCTTATTCATAAATGCTGTTTATTTGATTTTTTTTAAAAGAATTATTTATAAAAAAATCTAAAAACGGTTAATTTTTTAATTGCGTACTTTATTACGCTTGGCACATGGTTCATTAAGCTACAATCAATAATATGACATGGTATTCGGCCTAAAGAAAGTTATTCAGTTTCAGTGTGTCATGCTTTTCCGATAAAATCAAACAATCTCGTGTCCGTTAATTTAAAGATTGTGTGTTGTTCAATAACCATATAAATTGGCAATTACGGACAAGTGTTATATGGAATTTGTGTGCGGTCCCAATGTTCCCTCTAGTAACATTACACAGCAAATAGCCTACATTCAATGTCACACAACAATACAATATGCTTATGCTATTTTATATTTTGGCGGCCAAAAAGTCGATTTGATAGACAAAACGATGCGGTTTGATTTTGTTAACACTAATTAGGAGAAACACTAATCCGATTAATATTCAGATAAATGTGTGTATGTGTGCGCGTTTGTGCGTGTGCATATACAGCCGATATTGTCGCTTATGTTTGTGAGAAGAAGAAAAATTGATTATGCTATAAATATTTATAAACAAACAACTTATCCACGTATTGGGTGTAACAGCGCTAGAATAGTGCGAAAGACTGAGCTACTTTGCAAACAACTTTTGTATACATACAACAACCGAGCACACCTTAAGAATGATCAAAACATTCATTTTGTGTTCGTTTGCGGTTATTTGTTTATGACATCGATTTTGATTTATTGGCCACAAAATATAACATGACGTGGGTGAACACTGAACATATCAATACTCCGATGCAATTATTTTCAGTATTTAATCAACTATTGTCAATGCATGCACGTGGTTATGCCAAAGTAGGAAATAAAAACACCGGCAAATATTAGGTCATTTTTCTCATGAATTAGATTTATTGTCCGTCCATTACTTTTGTTGTTCCATTTCTATTATTCATTTTTCAGATTTGCTTATTATCAAATCTATGTAAAAAAAATGGTTTGGATTTTCTTCAAAATCTTATTCGATGATTCTGCGTAGGTTTGCCAGTTTTCTTTTTCATATGGGGAACGTGTTTTCATCACGTTCTATTCATATTTAGTTTTTGAAGAAGAAAACAATTTGCCACGTAATTAAATCATAGTAATAGAAGAATATGACTCATCGACGAAATATCAATAGAGTCAATCAAATGTTAACATAGACTTGGACGATGTCGGTATGGCAAAGTCCACTTATGCTAATTTTTCTGTTTCGTCTTGCTTGTAATGAGTACAGGTATTATTTTTTTAAGTAGAATGTGATTGGCGTTGACCTGTCTAACCATAACAAATGGAATAAACAACAAAAACACTACAGAATATTTGAATAACAAAAAAAAAACTAATTTGCGTCAGCAATCAACTCAAATGTTGATAAAATAACCAATGATGAGATGAAGTTCTTAGAAATCTTGTCTTCCTAGTGATCATACTTCAACAAAAAGTGGGAAACGAGAGCATTCCATTCGATTGGACAATAGCAAGCAGATGAAAGGCCAGAACGTTCAAAACATGCTTAATGGGAACATTTGAAAAGTATTGAGAATCTCACTACAGTTGACTTACACGTTTGAAACTTTTTCTTTTTTTCTTTTTGATTAAAAGACCTCAGACACTCGGATGTATACCGGTTAAATTTTTCTTTGCTATTTCTATTCCATCATTTTCTACTCCAACCAAAACATTTCCAATGCTTATTGAAAAATCTTTTTGAAAATCAAGTAATTTACTCATTTTACATGGATGATTCGTTGGTAATTAATCGAAATCTTATCGAACGTGGACTCAATTGATTCAATTAGTGACAAAATTGAAATTGCTGCATCAGCAATACTAACGGGTCACATCTTAATTTTACATTCAAATGGCATGATACGATTTTGAAAGTTTAAAACATGTATCACCAAATCGCTTTGAATAAATGGCTTATATTTCGATATCGAGCAGTAGAAGTAGCTGTAGCAGTAGTAATAGCAGCAACAGTAGCAGCTTTTGTTTTTACAATTATTTGCCCTTTAATTTGTCGTCAACGACTCAATAACATGCGCATAAAATTGAGCTATACATTACTGTACATTTTTATTATTATGAACAATAAAATTCTCGGCGAAACTGTTGATTGAATTGGATCTCATCAAGTGGCAAATGTGTATGTGATCTATGACCTAACTACAACCGCAATTGGCTTGGAATAATTTTTTTTTCAGTAACAATTAATTCGACTAAAATACGATACTCCATCAATTTGGTACTTACTTTGAATGTGATGCTTTTGAAAATGGAAAAAGAACTTTTAATCGATCAATTTCTGCGGTCTCTCAATTACTGCTTTCTTATATGTAGCTCTTGAATCGATGGCCATACACACATACAACAGTGTTGATCATTGAACTTTGAAGATTGTCACAGTTTTTGGCCGTATTCGCACCAATTTTCATCTGTTTTTGTTTTTAATTTAAAGTAAAATATTTCACACTAACTAGGAGGCGGAGAGGAACGTGCACAAATGTGTAAATTGTCAAAATCACTGCATTTTCAAATGACGGATCAGCGTCACAGTTGTAGTTCTATTTGATTGACATTCGATAATTATAGAATGCGTTCGTGAATTACATATATTGACACTAATTTATAATAAGATTGTTGCACACGTTTATGTAATTCGACAATTCAATGTTAAACCCAATTCGTTGATGTGATCGACAATTTGTAGCGCAGCATAAATGAAACAATAAACTCAGCTCGCCCGCATCGTTTCCGCAAAAGGTCCAGGCGGCAATTTGTTGCGCAATGATGTGTCTGAGAAATAACAATTGACGTATAAATTCTTTTGGTTTGTTTTTTTTTTCTTCAATGGTTGAGTGTCAGGACAACAAATAATGTTGTACCGAATGCCACTTATCACCTGAACATTTCACTCAATCACGTCGCGATCACAACACATTGAACACAGTATTCTTATGATTGATGTTGCATATTTAGAATGCAGATCTGTTTTGTTGTGTGCTTTTCAGTAAATTCGCTAATCGAATCGAGATTCGTCTCAGTTCAACTTAGCGTCCGGCCGAAATACTGAAGAAATCTGATTTCTAGTAATGGGTTTTATCATTGTTTATGCTGAATACCGCTACCGGTCGCTTAACACGTGCACGTGAACCAACTTGATGATGCTTTCGAGATGATTCAACCGAATAGACAGATCTAATCATTGGAATCAAAGGTTGATGCATTCGATATTCATATTTACGGCTGACATAGCCGTAAATAAAGGTGCCGAAAACTGCAAATGATTATCACTTTGTATCGCTGGATTCAATTAGTTAGAGATTACTTATATTCGCTCTCAAAAGTGAAACGATTTTTATTGGTTTTCAGCTTGATATAATAAACTCAACTCGTGAATGATAAATTTGCACAGAAACCTTGATTTTCAGACACAACAATTGAATCAGTTTCAATTTTTCTCATTATTTTCATTTTTTCCTTCTCGTTCTGTTGTGTTTTTTACCGTTTTTTTTCCTGATTTAATTACGAAACACCGACTTATTTTACCTCAGTAGAAGATTGGCGTTCCGTTGCCGAATCGATAGTCACCCTATATAGATGCTAAAGAATAAACAAATGTAAAAACAAGTCAACTTAAATCTGTGTGTTATTTATCATTAGGTATGTGATCACGATGAGACCGTTAAAATGTTTACATATTGACGTTTTTTCCTTCTCTCTCTCTCTTTCTCTCTCTCTCTCTCTCTCTCTCTCTCTCTCTCTCTCTATTCAAAACATTGGAAATTTCGAATGTTCAGAATGTGAAATTTCAAATAGCTGACGGATTCAACGAATTCATCAGAAGCACAATAATTATATGCAACTTCTGTGTAAAACTGGCACAAAAATTGTAAAGATTTATTGATATTACTTTGATCGACGTAAACGCTATGACTACGGTTGCATTTTATTATTATTCGATGACTTTTTTTTCTATCTCACAAAAATCTGATGAATATAGTTTGTTGGTTTAGCTGGCTCGTGAACGAAAAATATGTAATTCAAAATATGGGTAACGTACGCTACGACGTTCAAATAACGTATGATCCGTTCACTGAATTTCAATTTCTGATTGAGACATAGTCGAAATTATTGTCGCTTCCCTAGTGCGAATTCATGTAAACATTATAACATAACACGGGAGGTACAACGACAGTGACAGAGAGTATTAAAAGTGTGTATGGTATACATTCACAGCCGAATGCTCACAATCACATCAACGCCATTGCGTTGAAATTTTTTTTATATAAATTGCAAGTTTTGTGCAACAAACCAACCTGACATTGTTTGATTCCATTCCACTAAAATTTGGTATTTGAATGAAACTATTTGTATATGCCCGCATTCTTTCAGTATTCGTTTAACCCACACATATCAGCTAATCTGATCGATTCGGCCCATTCGCTTGGGAAAACGTGTCTATTTTATAAAATGATAGAATAGTGAAACTTGCCATTCATAATACGATTTCCACCAAATTATTTCGTATTTCTACTGAAAAGAAAATCTTATTCTTCGCACTATGAAGGGGTTTGGAAAATTTAGAAATGCAACACATCAATTTACTTCTGAGATATTGCACTCTTTCCAAGAACGTAAAGAAGTGCCCCATTTGCTCAGGACGGATTTAGATACCAATTTTACAAATACTTCGATTGGGTCCGGAATTCATTCTCAATGGTTCATATATAGGGCATAATTCAATAAATTCATAGGCTGTTTACATTGGTTGTCCCTGAATTCCAATGAAAAACACAATTCAAAACAATATGAAATAAATAATGCTTTATGTCAATTAGAGTACCAAACTGCCATTCATTTGAACCATTAACTTTTTATGCCCAGAAAATACCACTTTTAGACGAGTTAATGAAGTATTGAAAAACAATTTTTTTATATTAAATCACGAGAATTATTAAATTATTCTTATCAGTAGCATGTGACTCAATGGTATTGTCCGGAACAAACACAAAAAAATACAAAGTTTTTTTTTAGCAAATATTGCATATTCACAAATGTGATTATTTCTTTTTTATTTTCTTCATTGAACAAAAGCGTTCACTGTAAATCATCCTTATAATATTTTCACAAATATATTGTTATAGTCTAAATTGGAGAGAATAGTTGCTGTTTTTCGTGAGATTGATTTCATACCGCACATTTCGGGAGTTCGTGGTTTTTACTCCTGGCGGTGCACCACCAAGTGAGTTGGCTGGAACATCCGTACTCGGTATTGTGGTTATTTCTTCGTTTACCCCAGTTGGCCGATTTCGCTTTTGTCTTTTTTTTCTTTTCTCCTGTCCCTTCTTCGTTGGTTTATGAAGTGATGTTGTTGGCTCATTGGTTTGTAAAATACTCGATGATTCGGACTCATCAAACACTGTTGAAAAATTGCTCAAATCGCTTGATTCTTCGGACTTTGGCGCAATGTTTGTGGGTTTATTTGCTTTGTTATCGTTGTCTGATCCAAATTTGAAATACTTTTTTTCCAAAAAAATTAGATTATGTTTTTCAGCAACAGTTTCCTGTTTGAGTGTGTGGGCCCCGCTCGTGTAAGGTTGAGCTAGCGAGTTTACTCGATCTGCACTAAGACCAGTTGTTTTGATAATGCGCGTAATATTCTGTACATCTTCGTCAGGTGACGAATACTTGAACAAATTTTTCCATTGTGAACTCAGATGTTCAGCTCGGTTCATCAATTCCACGTCGAAACTGGTGAACTTGATGCCATGTGAAATTGGAGGCCTATAGTATTCTACGAAGTTCACGAGGTACAAATCTTCCAGATCCATTTTCATTGAATACCCTGAATAGTCAAAGAAAGAGTTAAATTAGACGACGCATTCTCAAGAAAAAGTCTTAAAACCAATGTATTTTTGAACAATCAGTATGGTCTGTGTGAAATCAATGACAAATTCAGAAGAGATGTCAGAAAAAGTAGTTATAGAAAATCATCACAAGAATCAGCCTTATCTTTTTATGAAAATCCACGTGAAATTACCTGTTTTATTTCGATGAATCGTCTGTCTTGCTTGTTTGTGTCACAGATTCGATAGCAATCGACACCTATTAAACAACAACAAAAGAACTAGTTATATCTAAGAATTCATGGAAATTTACATGCAATCAATGCATCATTTAACGATCAGTATGGTCTGTATGAAATCAATGACAAATTCAGAAGAGATGTCAGAAAAGTAGTTATAGAAAATCATCACAAGAATCAATCCAGACTATTTATAAAGAAACCGTTTGAAATTACCTATTGTCCTTCAATCAATCGTTCGTCTTTCCATTACTATCAAAAGTTTGAGACCTATTGGACAACAAGAGAAAAGCGGTTATTGCAAAAGTTCACCTTATAAACCGATTCTATGTTCGGTTACTGTGAACAGCATGAAATGATGAACATATTATTTTTAAATTTAATCCTAACCTTCAAGAAAACTTCAACACCAACATCACCGCATGCATCAAAGGGCATCTAACCTAAAAAGTTGAACATTATTTTTTTTTCTTCATTAAATGATTCTGAGTTAAAATTGAATAACTGGAATTCAACACAATCATTTTATTTTATTTTCTATAAAAAGATTGAATGTTGAGCGTGAATGAAAATCAATGAAAGAAATTGAGCAACATTGAATACTCCGGTTTGTGATTCGTTGTCGTTTTTTGTTCAATTTTTATCTCAAGTTTTTTCAATTGTTTAATCTATTTTCAAACGCATTTATTTACGAATATGTAAATTATTTCGCAAGAAAAAAAGAAGGTTTCTTACCGGGATGTCGAAATAGTGAAATGTCTTTGTTCTTTTTGTAGTGATGAACATGCTTGATATTTCTACAATGAAGTTAATCTTACTGTAGTAGTTCATAGCGCTGCAATCGTCGAAAATCGAAATGTCAAAATCGTAAGAGGCCTTACGAAGAAAAAGCGGACAAATGCGTCCACATAACCACAATAAACAAATACTGTGCTCGGCTGTTATACATACAAATCCAACGATTTTCAACCAGCAATTTTGTTTTCAATTTTCAATCGAGGGAAAGAAGAAAAAGAAAAATGGTCGAAAAACCTGATGAGCGTCTGTTGCCGACAAACAAGGTGCGAACGATAATGAAAAGTTGTGGTGATCCAAGTGCATTCCTGTCGAAAGAATCAGTTTTGGTTGTTACAAAAGCAGCGGTATGTACCTCTTGAAAAATCTTTCATCAGTGGCTATAATTAGTTTTCTCCATTAACGACAGGAATTGTTCATATCGTATTTAACACAACAAACACATAAAAAATGTGCCCATAAGAAGGATTTAAACTACAACGATCTGTCAAGTTTTGTGCAAGAGGAAGAAAAACTCGAGTTCTTGCATCAAATTGTACCAAAGAAAATCACGGTGAAAGAGTTTCGGGAAATTTTAGAACGCGGGTCCGAATCCGAATCGTCCGACTCTGAAGAGGAAGCATCATCCGACGAGGAACATAGTGATGAGGAGGTAGACGAAGAGGAAGGTAAGCAGTAGAATTGATATTATTTGACTTTGGCATGTTTAAATTACGGATCCGTCGACTGAATGCACAAATTTCATGCTTTTCTTTCGATAGATATGGACGAAGCTGACGAAAGTGAGAGTGATAATGAAGCCGTGGAAGAGGATTGATTGAGACTATTTTTCCTGTAAAATTCCATTAAAATTATTGAAGAAAATGTTAAGAAAACACAAGCCGATTACTAATCAATTGGTTTACATTATTATCAGTTTGTCAAACCACCGACCGGTAGCCACAAGGCAAATAGTTTAAATTAAGGTCCCATTTTATATTCTATAATCAAAATCAATAAAATTCTGTATTTTCAGTCCGATTTCTTAATAGTCCGTGGTTTTCTTGAAACGATTACAACAGGCGCCATCTGCGTGAAATAGCAAACATTTCGTTTTCATGCTCAATTGACATAGTATTCCATTGAAAAAATGGCGGCGTGCAGCTCATGAAAATGTACGATTGTCAAAATCTAACCAATTACCTACCGTCATTATTATTATTATTATTATTATTACTGTTCTGACATTATATTGATACTGGGGAAGGAGCCAAATTTTTTTTGGAGTTTTATCGTTTCCCTTCATTCAAAATGGGAAGCGCTTGGGCAAGATACACAAGTCCAGGTAAAATATAACTCCAAATCTTTTCGTTTCAATAGAAACCGATGTTTATTTAAATTAACCAACAATTGGACATTTTTCTTTTGCATTTGCACATTTTTAGAAGTGACACCATACAATGAAGAAGTAACATTTGATCCACTGTATGGTTTCCCCAATGGACGAAAGGAAAGAGGTTAGTTAAAACGATATATTTATCTACAATACTCGATTGCCATCGAACACGAATGTCGATTTCACTTTTATCCCTATCATTCTACTGTGTTGATTGATGAAAACGGAATCGCATTTAGTTACATAATAACATCGCTATCGAATTCGTGCTCTGTTGATGTATGTACATATGATCAGGGAAATGTCAACGTTCGAACCATACCACACAAGGGAATGAATCATTTTTATTTACAAATGTGCTTTGCATTTTATGTTTTCAGTGATGATTGCAACCGAAGCTGAAATGGTTTCAGCAAAATTACCGCTTGAAGAACGAGACTACTGTGCACATACGAAAATCGATTATTTAAGATGTATAGCCGATGTATGGCCGTTTCCATACAAATGTGCCCACGAGAAACATGCCCAGGCTCAATGTCAATACGAAGAGTAAGTATTTTACGGAATTATCATTTTTACAATTCACAGCATTGCCTATGACATCGGTTTTATTTTTCTCGTTGCAGTTATATTTTACGAATGAAGGAGTATGAACGTGAGAGACGGCTCATGGTCCGTAGAGAACGTATTGCCAAGAAAAAAGCAGCAGAAGCGTTAGCAGCATGAAAATCCGTTTTTTTTAAATAGTTCATATAGAATTCATTTGTGAAAAAAAATCAAGGAGTTCAATAAAATAAAATTTAATGAAACACAGTACAATGAGTGCGTGATTGGACAGTATACAAAAAGATGTACAGAATGCTTGATATTCTAACGATGCGTATTGAATACTTTTCTAAATGCTCTCCAATACAATAGAATCAATCCCAAAACAAAAACTCAATTGTTCTGCGTATTTTACAGAAATATGCATTTATTCTCGGAAGAAATTTCAAAAAAATAGTTCTCTTTTACTTTCATAGCGAAATAAGTCGAAATACTTCATCACACATACACATGTATCCGATGTTATGCATACAAAGCTTCAAAATATCGAAAAATGTACATGTGGTACATGATGTGCGTATGTGTATGTGAGTTAGTGTCCTAGTGTAAGTGGCATTATCAATGGCTTGACACATTTGACATTTTGAAAACGTATGTTTGGTTCATTGTGTTGTGGTTCGTCGAATGCATTTTGTTATGCGCGATTCAACTGTCAAAATCAGTCGGTCTCCTCCTTTTTGCCGTACTACTGACAAATACACATATTCGAATACATAAACATCAAGAAAAAACACAACCAAAAAAAAAAACTATGAGACTTGGGGAAGAGAACGCCATGATGGCTGCCGTAAAAAATTAATTATTATTTGAGTAGAAAGTGGATTTTTCTTTCTTCAGCGTATTTATTGGTAATTGAAGGGAAAAGGAGAATCAACCCAATCAAAATAATGGAAATTCTAATTCGTACATTTTTTGGAACCAATCGCTTACACTTGTGCATTTAAACACACAGTGAAGCACGAAGCCTTTGGAGACGAATTTTTTTTTGCAATGTTATTGTCCAGCACAGAATATTGATTGATTTGATTTTGGGAAGGTAATAATAAATTTTCGGAAAATGTGTTCAAATAACTTCAATTGTGAATACAATATCGACTCGCTCTAAGTGATTAAATTGACTGCTTGGTGTGTCACAATTGATGTAATGTTTCATGAAAAAGGTCAAACTGAATCACAGCTCAAATGCATTTACGTGCTGTGTGTGTCTTTTTATTCGGCGAATTGAATGTGTTTTGTTGTTGTTGCATGATATAGTTTACGGTGGAAAAATACCTATGAAAATTTTCGATACGAGTGAATCAAAATCAATTCGAGTGTTTTTTTGAATTAGTTTTCTCTTTAAATTGTGTACTTGGTCAAATAATGAAATTATTTTGTGAAATTCCGCAACATCAGCGTGTTTTTTTAATTGTTCTTCTTATTGGAATATGCTATTGAAACATCGGTCCCGCATTTATAGTGATAGATTGTAAATGAAAAAAAGAGAAAAACATTTTTCAAATCGAAAAAAATGAATTCCGAAAAGTCATAGTGAATTGATTAATATTCTAGGAATTTATAGTGTACGTAGAATTACACAGTTTTTAATAATAGTAACAATAATGGCGAACTGTCAGATTAAATGTGCATCTATCTTTATTTCGGTCTACTATTCATACATGCCAACTTAATTGCTTAGATGTTTGGTTAGATACAAAACGAAATGTCGTCAATTTTAGCTTCCAAGCACCATTTCAATTATCTTTTAGCGTTGTGTATTAACCGAAAAATATAAACTCACACATTTATTTAGGTCTAATTATTCCGCATTTGCTTTCATTTATTTATAGACTTATCTATAGTAAAACCAAATTAGGACAGCGAAACGTAGAAGTGACAATAGCCAATCATGGATGAGACAAACACTACCGACACGGAAAATGCAAAGCCAAACGAAACTGAGTCACCAAGTCCGAAAAATGAAAGCGCAGATGTTTCCGTGAGACTGTCGCCACCAATCGAAAATCAAATGAATTTGGTTGAAAATGAAAACAGTACAGTGCTAGAGTGCAGTGATTCGAAGAGTGATGACCACACTTTTGACACCACATCTAAGTCGAGCGATGAATTGAAAACGTCTCAAAGTGCACATGAGCCATTGGATGGAATGCTGGCAAGTGCACAAGAAGAGCCACCCGACGATCTTGGTGAAATGCCACCAAAATTACAGGATGACCCAGAACCAATAGAAAAAATCGACACGGCCCAATGTTTGAATACTGAAATCGAAAATACTGCAAAAGAGGCTCAAAAACAACCGCTAATTGATGATTCTGAAGATCTGTTGATACCAACTGACTTTGTGCCAGATAGTGAGGATGTTATTGGCGATGAACCAAAGCGGAAGCACTCGATTTGTGAGGAGAATAGCGAAACGAGTAAAAAATTTAAACACGATCCTATAGCCGATGAAGATATATCGATGCAAACCGAGAGTAGTGAAGACGATTTCGATGGAATGTGCGCCGAAAGCGAAGAACTTCCATCGCAAGTTTCCCCTGAACAACCAACCGTTACCGACAATGCTGAAATACCAGAAAAGTGTGAAATTGCAAACGATGAACTGAACATTTCTGACATTTTAACAAAGAGTGTCACTACCGAAAACACAATTGCTTTAGCTGATATAATTGAAAGCGTGGACAATTTAATTAAAAAAGATGATGAACAAAGTGAAATTGATAATAGTGTTTTAGTGGAAGAGAAACCAATTGAAGAGACATGTTCTAAAAAAGTGGACGATGATGCAGAAAAAAGTGTAGTCGAAGGTGACCCAAATGCCGAAGAACTTGATTTTAATATTTCGGAAAAGTTGAAGGATATGGGTGAAATAAGTTTGGGGCCTGTGTCAAAAACTGATCGGAAAACTTTGCCCGATTTCGAATTGGGCGCCGAAGTTTCGCTCGAGCAAATTTGTAAAAAGGGCGCTGATAGTGATGATAAACGAAATAAAGTGTCTAATTTACGAAAGAATATTCGCGAAGTTATGGATGATAATCAATTGGATGCATCTACACTTGCTGCCCAACGTGAAGAATTGGAGCGTTTAACTCGAGTACAGGAACAGCAACGCATGATCCGCGAAATGCAACGACAAGTTGCGCTTGACAGACAAAATAGTAAAACACAGAGTAAAGTTTTGTCTCTACTGACGGGGCACACATCACTATTGAAATCATCAAATGCTGGTGCATCAAGTAAAGCCCAAGCGTCAAGTCCAACGATTTCGGGCGATGATGTGGAAGATATATTGTCTGGTAAATCAGGGAATCTAACACCATCAGTGAGCATTGCGCCTATAAAATCTACACAGAAAAGGTCGGAATCGATAGAAATTACGGATATTTCAAGTGGTATTGAAATGCACAATGAAGCGGACACTGATTCTAGCGAAAAATTAGATAAGTCCACCGACGATTTACTTATTGTTGAGGACGATGAAGAGCTCTCTGAAGAAGATGAAGAAGATGACGATGATGATGTCATAGAATTGAAGCCAAAAAAAGATATTGTCACAATCGATGATAGTTCCGATGATGACTGTATTATGTAAGTTTATTTTCGCTTTTTCGGCTCTCAACTCATGAACTCGGCTGAACAATATCAATATTAATCGATACATTGTTTCATGTCTTTGATTTTGATTTTCACAGGCTATCCGACGACGAAGAAGAGGATGAAGGGGAGGATGATCCACAGAATAGTGGTTTACATGTGAACGATGCCTATAATATACCAGATGAACAAGGAAAAGTTGTGATAAATATTGGCCACCCGGAAGGTGAAGAGGATATATTTTTAGCTCCGCAAATTGCGCGCATAATTAAGCCCCACCAAATTGGAGGTGTTCGCTTCTTGTTCGATAACATAATCGAGTCAGTGGAGAGATTCAGTACCTCGACTGGTTTCGGATGTATTTTAGCACATTCAATGGGACTTGGGAAGACGCTGCAGCTTGTGTGTTTCATTGATATTTTCTTGAGACACACCAATTCAAAGACCATTTTATGCATTATGCCTATAAACACGTTACAAAATTGGTTAGCCGAATTTAATATGTGGTTGCCGGAAGACCCAGAAAATTCACCATTAAAAGCTCAGGGTGAAGTTCGGCCACGCAACTTTAAACTTTTCGTTTTGAATGATACGCACAAAACATTGAACGCAAGATCAAAAATAGTCTTAGAGTGGGCACGAACGGGTGGTGTGCTCTTGATAGGCTACGAACTGTACAGACTTTTAAGTTTAAAGAAGGTAACTAAACGAAGGGGTCGTAAGACGAGAGTTGATCCAGAGGTGGAAGAACGGGAAGCCGAAGAACATAAAAAGCTTTTGGACGAAATGCATGCAGCATTAGTGAAACCGGGTCCAGATTTGGTAGTGTGTGACGAAGGGCATCGAATTAAAAATTCTCATGCCAGCATATCGGTTGCACTGAAGCAAATTCGATCGAAACGCCGCATTGTTCTCACTGGCTATCCCCTTCAGAATAATTTGCTTGAATACTGGTGCATGGTTGACTTTGTTCGTCCGAATTATTTGGGCACTAAAACCGAATTTTCAAATATGTTCGAGCGACCTATTCAAAATGGACAGTGTATTGATTCAACGCCGCAAGATATCAAATTAATGCGCTATAGAGCCCATGTCCTACATTCACTTTTGCTTGGTTTTGTTCAACGTCGATCACATGTTGTACTGCAGAATTCATTACCTCTGAAAGAAGAGTTTGTTATCCTTGTTCGAATGACGTCATTCCAACGCAAACTATATGATGTTTTCATGAACGAAGTGGTTCGAACCAAAGCCGTTCCAAATCCACTCAAAGCATTTGCTGTGTGCTGCAAAATTTGGAATCATCCAGATGTTTTGTATAATTTTCTGAAAAAGCGTGAAGCCGATCTGGATTTGGAGGAGGCTGAGGCGGCAGCAAATGACCCATCATTTGATGTGGCCAATGATTCGACTGCCCTCACCAAAAACAACAAGAAAAAAGCGTGCAGCAAAAAGAACAAAAAGAGCGAAAAATCAAGTTCACCAACCGAATCGGAATCGAAGAACGAATCAAAGCCAGCAGCATCAATCCCGCCGACTACAATAGCTGCTCCGGTAAAGATTGAGAGCGAAACATTACTGAAATCAGAACTGAATGAAACTGCCAAGACTGAAAAATCTGATGGCATTAAAAATGAACAACCAAACTTTAATTCGATCAGCGATACATCAACGCAAATGAACAAAAATTTATATCCGCAAATACCACCACAAACACCAAATTTCACAAACGCCGCACAGCCTAATGCACCGCAGTATAATCAATCGCCTTACAATCCATCACAAGCGTCAAGTGCAGTTTATCACTCAAATTATCCGTACCCAGCGATGCAGCCGGGATATAATACACCGTATAATAATTACAACAGATACGATCCTAGTTACTATGGCGGCTATTCGCAATCAGGTGTCCATAATAGTGCGATGTCTTCGATGCCAAATCGATACTATTGGAATCAAACGCAGCCGCAGCCGCCACCACGTTCTGGACCCACGATGTCTCAGAATCCATATAATTTTAATGCATCGAATGATCCAAAAGGCAACCAAAGCGAATATGGTCAATCGCCATGGCCAACGCACAATAATCAACAGTATTATCCGCATCATGTTGATTATCCATCAGGAGGATCATTTTCAGCATACGGAAGCGATTACCCTTCAATGTATAACATGCCACAATCAGGTGCAAATTCAACGCAACAACCTCTGCCGAACAACTACCCAGCAACGCCAATGCAAAGTCCATTCCCCAATTCAAATGTATCAAACAATCAATGGAACACGTCTAATGTATCGAATGCAGCCGCATCTCTACCACCGCATTCAATGAACCAAAGCTTACCGTCATCACATACACCTAGCAACAACAATGAGAACAGTTCAAAACATGTTAATTTTTACCCAAATCAACCTAATGACTCAATGAACGTCATTGCAAATGATCCAAGTAGCAACGCCAATAAGCCATCCACAATAGACGTGAACGGTAGCAATGTGGAGAAAAGCAGTATTCCATCATCTAGTAATACAGTAAAGTCCGAAAGTGTGAAATCGGATTCAGCAAGTAGTGAGGTAAAAGACGAAAAAACTGACATCCAATCGAGCGATAAATGTAATGATGATGAAACCGATGATAAGAAATTAGTCGATATCAAAGAAGAGAGCGTGGAAAAAGACTCAAAAGTCAAGGATGACGGAATACCTTATGATTGGGCAATAGAGCTTATGAAGAACTATACGCCTGATTTGATTGAAAATTCCACGAAAATGGAAATATTCTTCTGTATTTTGGACAAAACAATCAGCTTGGGCGATCGAATGTTGATATTCAGCCAGAGTTTGTTGACTCTAAATTTGATTGAGCGCTTTTTGCAAGC